CTTGTTGGTCCCTGCCTGGCGCTCGGCATTAATGGGTACAACAAGGACTGGTCGGCTCGGAGTCAGTATAATGTGTCTGAGTGGGGTATTCATGCTTCACTGCGGCATGGTATCTCAGTGGGCTAGCACTATAAAACCAGCTTCAGTCTGGACTAGTACAAGCAGACGCACATACACATACACACGCATGCACGTCGTCATATGAGCGAAATATTCTCAAGCACGACGCTAAACCCAATTCCACCACCAGATACCTTTTAAATGGGGCCATGGCAATAGAGTTTTTTTTAATGAATTACGGAATTAGTCAGTCAAAACATAATGAAACATTCTGAACGTATAAAGCATTAATTATATATATAGATCCACATATATTAAACCATGGCTGTGTTTCATCTAAAAAAGGAGGACACGTGCATCCTTGTCGTGGCTGCGTCCATGAATCGTCTCGAGCACGCATGGTCGTTTGTTTCAGTCCATGAAAGTCAGTTGCCACTGACCTCGGTTTGTCAATACCATCCAGCAGATGACAAGGCAAGATGAACAGAGATTTATACCCGCCTTTGCCAACTCGCAGAAATATAACTCATTCCCCAATTCCTATTGATTCCAACATTATCCGCCATTACGATTGCGTGATATGTCTCAGTTATATCGGGTCTGACGTCATGTCGTGTCTGGTGCTGGCAAAGAGAGGGCGTGGTCCGAGGCAGGAAGACAGCTGATGTGATTTAGACCGGTCCAGACCAACTTATCTGACACGTGCCTCCCAAATCTTCCCCTTGACATATTAATTATCCTTAACGATTATATGATTTGTCTGCAGTGTGCAATTTATCATATCTCCACAATGGCGCATCGAAACTCAACCTGGAGATATTCCATCACCGTTATATGCCTGTGGTCATATGAAATGAAGTATAAAGACAGACATTAATGCCGTTATCATAAACCAGCATCTTTTGACGTCTTTCGGTACGACAAAACCAAGGTTCAAACCACCAACCATACGTTCTTGATCCACTAGACAAACGGGTGGTCGCGTATACATCGAATATTTGCAGATGGCAAGTCTTGTTAAATGTTCAGCTGGGTGGTGGGGTAGCCTAGTAGTTAAAGCGTTCGCTCGTCACGCCGAATATCCGGGTTCCATTCCCCACATGGGTACAATGTTTGGAGCCAATTTCTGGTGTCACCCGCCGTGATGTTGCTAGAATAACTTAACTCACACACTTTAATTTTAAGGATAAATACAACTATGACACTTAAAGTAGTCGGCATCACGGACTTGTCTGGGAAGACAAATACAGGAATCTGTCCTATTAACCTTGTTATCATAAGTAACATATGTTATATTTGGGATTACACATTTGACATTTGGTGTTACATTTGACCACTTTCTAAATGGCATTGTGTATTTCATTGTTATCATAACATCCCGAATACTTCCTCCAAGCAACAGGCACCACAATTAGTTGTACAGAGTTGGGTCCCTTTACCATGTCCGGATCCAATTCCCATGTTCCCTTCTACTGTTTCGATATGATTAGTGTCCGCTGTCTTTCATGTGACGTCACAAATCAGGGCCCATCAATAAACCAATCATTTATTAATACGTAATTTACATAATCAGTAGAGCAGCTCAATTAACAGACGCAGTCAGCCAGTTATTAGGCTGTACTCATCAAGACTACTTTTACGCCGAAGATGTCACACCAATTAGAATCAGTGTCCAACTTTAGCATGAAATGGTATTACACGGAAAAAAACAATGTCTCAAGTTATGGTAACGAGCAACAGTTCATAAGAACAGAGAACTTGGCATATGCAAATGGGTCACAACACAAGATGGGGTTCACAAGGAAGTTCTCACGATTAGGAGCGAGTGTCTCCACCTTGTGCATGTATGTAAGCCTGGCACCGTCGCCCAATTGAGGCCACTACATGTCGATGTATATCCTGGGGAAGATCATTCCATATCCGGAGAAGAATATCGTGCACAACTCGAGTGCAATTTTTCTGGCTTGTTCGTGTTCAAACGTCACTCAAGGGCCGTACTGTTGCTATGACGGTGGAGCGGTCATATGCAAAATTTCGTCTCGGTGCCTCACAGTATTCAAGTTGACCTCAAACACAATCACTGGCGTCCTTGATGCTGTTATCCCAACCCAGTTCATAACACCCCCACCCTCAAAACGATTCCCTTCCTGAACACATGGCCTGATGTAACTTCCACATGTGCGCCTGTAGACACGTGTCCTGCCATCAGCTCGGAGAAGAAGGAAACGTGACTAACTGAAGAGAACTCCTCTGCATTCATCTGCTCGCAAGTGCTGTCTGCTTCTTTGGAGACGTCGGAGTCGATGTTCTGGCGTCAGAACTGGCCGTCGGGTTGGGCGTCTTGTGTGCGTCGTCGAACTCTTCTCGCAGATACACTTCTGTTGCCAGGTATGGTACAGGCTGTAGGTGTGTGGTTCAACTCCATCGTCCTGAAGTGGGGTCGTTACTTGTGGGCGGCCATTACGGGGACGGTAAATACATTGGCTGTTGGCTGAAAACATCACCATGATTACCAAATGAAGTTTCTGTGGACGTTGAAGCGACGAGCAACGTTGCAATGCGAGGTACCAGACTGAATCATACCTATTACTCTCCATCTGTCATTTCCCTCGGGGGGATGGACTTGTTGAACTTCTCCCTGAACGAAGGCTTCGACCTTGAGTGGAAATGAGAGTCTGGTTGCCTGACCTTTAAAGCGAACATTGGTTGCCATTGTTCTCGAACATGTCATACGTTTTGTTAATCCTGTGCAATTCGAACAGCAACTGCTTGGTTACACTTTCTCTAGTTCAGATCCCAAAATTCGTTTACTAGATAACCAATGAAAACGTTAAATATTTTCAATATCACAGGTAGTCTTGCCTATGAGTATATATTTGAGGTATGGTATTTTATAGCATCAATTCAGGTTAAATACGTCTGGCAACACGAGACTACATATCACTGAACAGGTTGTATTTGAATTGGAGAAACAGCTTATATACATACAGAACGTCCTTGTAGCACACGAAGTTCCAATGAACTAACGTCAGAAATATCCTGTTGCACATAGTCAGTGTTACATCTGACATTGTGACTTTCTATCAACGGTTCGGAGGAACATTTGCAGTTATCAAGTTAAATATACATTTAGCTAATAGAAGCGACAAAACCCTTTCCACATTCATAAGAAATGCCACAAGCGTAGTCGGTCGTACAATTGTGTCTATATCATGAGCAGATATTTGTTTCAGCAGCATTACAGCTGTATGATGTTGTTTGTAAACAAATCGGGTCTGAACCAGACAATCCAGTGATTGTCACCATGCAATACGATCAAAGAGCATGTTTTAATGAAATAATGATGTTACCACACGTTGCAACAATGATTATTATTATGATAATGTTGATGACTATGATAAAATATGTTACTTACATATACTTACTTACATTGGTTTAATGTAACAGAACAATTCAAATTCTTAGAAACCTACCTACAATGGTGAGTGAGCTGAGTGTAACGCCGCTGTGACCAGTATTCCAGTTATATCACGGCGGGTCTGCTTAATGTGGGAGGAAAGCCCGAAGTGAAGCATGTCTCAGAAGCCCACGAACCCGTATTTAACGAACGTAAAACATAGGGAGGGCCGGCTTCTTGCGTGCTCAAGGGACGCAACTCTATACCCTAGTCGACGGGGGCCATTCATCTCAACACCCCCTCCCCAATTTCCCTCCTTCACTCCAATCCCCCCAAATGATGCGACACATAATTTGTGTTTGAACCCGCGACAATCAGATCGTTGAAACTTAGGGAGATAACTCTGCCCTCTGCACTAAGGGAGATAACTCTACATGGCCTCAGTGCGCCTGGTCATCAGTGTCCTAGGTTTACAGACGAATGTTGGTTGGGTTACACCTATGTTGATAATCAACTTATGTTTGTATTGCAGTGGGCGTGGCCCTTATGACACACGTGATAGGAGGATGGGCGTGTCCAACAAAGGCTGTAAATGACGTGTTGATCTGTCTGGCAAACTTAACCAGCGGCATCCATGAAGAAGGAAAGAAGGTTGGAGAGGACTCCCCACATCATCAAACACCACTGCAAGTAGGTGACCGCTTCCGTCTTTAGGGTCCAGTTTAATTACTAAGAGGTTTACGAAAGTGAAAATGTGAATATTTAAGACACAACTGAGCTTACCCATGGTTCTGAGTTCAATGCAGTGTAAATGTACAAGACACGGCATGGTGGATTGAGGCAACTGCAGAGCATCAAAAGAAGATCTTTCTCGGTGTGGTCCGGAAAATGACTCCTATCAGTTAAATCCCACTTGAATAGTTATCATTTTGTCTTGAAACTTTCGAATTGATCATAATTGGAACAAATAACTCTCTTTCCACAGAGATTTAATTACGAAAAAAATGTGAAATTTAAGCTTTGTATTTGACAAAGTTAATTTGATCACCAGCAGGGGTTCCTGTGTGGATGGCAGGTTCTTCCGGAAAGGCAGGAAACTTTATCCTTTTCACGAACACCTGGTGTCAACACTGATCCACTAATGCTGTTTCCATCTCTAATTTGTAATTTGCGTTTTCAACCTGGTTTGGCGGAGAATCAAGACTGTTTATACTCTGGCGTTGACCTTGAATCAAGTTCATTTTGTATCAACTGTTAACATTTCAATATCTTTGAGTCGATCGATTCGTAAACCAAATTTGAAAATGTCTGGCCTTACAAGTTGCGCAAGCACCCATATGTCAGCGCGAAGTTGCGGCAACCCCAACAGCAGATACTTGATTCTACTTGATTAACGTCACAACGACACCGACAACAATCGTTTTATGGTAAATCGTGATGAACGGGAAGCGATGGACATGCGATCTTCATCGAACAGTCGGTGATAGAGTGAGGTTGTGTCCGTAATCCTGTAGCTGAGACTTAGAGATTCAGGGATTGCGAAATGGTTGTCACTCACGTCAGCTTTTTACGAGAACCAGGAAACATCGTTTTTCTTTATGAGTGAGTGAGTGAGTGAGTGAGTTTGGTTTTACGCCGCTTCTAGCAATATTCCAGAAATATCACGGCGGGGGACACCAGAAATGGGCTTTACACATTGTAGCCATGTGGCGAAACGAACCCGGACATTTGGCGTGATGAGCGAACGCTCTAATCACTAGGCTACCCTTCCGTCCCTATAAAATCATCCATGAACATCCAAGCGGGGAATTCATGGAAAGGGCGCCACACGCTGTGGAATGGAATGTTGGGAATGAAACCCGAGTCTTCGGCGTGACAAGATAACACTTTGAAAACCAGGCTACCCCACCAAGTGCACGTGTGATGAACGACACAGACACATGACACACTTTCTGACAAGATGATTGCTTACATCATTGGATCATCTGGTCCAGATTCGATCATTAGCAGACCGCGTCATATAGCTGGACTGTTGCTGAGTGTGGCGTTATACTTCTAACTGACTGGTTGCTTGCTTGCAATTCCCTGCATGAAATAGGACACTTTTAAATCTATTAGACTAGCCTTTGAATCCGAAAGAACCTCCATTTTGGGTTAGTAACGACATTGGGATTAGGGCCAAGACGAACGGACTGAGAAGATGACCGGGACAAAGAATTCACTTTCCGAATATCACGTGACGTATGCGTGTTTTGTTGATGTGTCTTCATCCCAGGTCTGCCACGTCTGGACTTCAGTCTATGTGACTATTTATACCCAGCAATGGTATGGCTGTCTCAAATCACTACCATTCTCTTAAAAATATATTTCCCACCCCTGCATCTAACCAGTCTACCATCTGTTTCAGGACAGGCGAGTTTAAGTCGGCTATCGTGTGTGTTGAGCGAATCTTCCATGACTGTCGCCATCGAAAGGATCTCCTGTTCCTGCTGAAGAAGCTGGCGGATCCAGACAGCATCAGGAAGGCGTTCCGCGAGCTGTGTGCCAACCTTGACCGTACGTACCACAGTGACATACCAACCATTACTAATGCCTGATACGAGAAACATGTGTTGTGATGTAAGCTGTCGACCGCCCCTCGAATAGACATACACTGTCACCTTGTACATAACCGAGAGCGATGTCCGGGAGTGTGACGACATGACCAAACGCCACAGCCGAGGACATCGCCTTTAAAAATCACAACCTGATTGTTTTGACGGATTTCCTCTTGTGACGGATTTCCTTTTTGTGACAGTTTAAAAAAACAACTTCTGTGAGTAACTGAAACGTTTCAACTAAACACTCACTTTGCTATCGATACACGAAGCCCATTTCTGCTGTCCCCCGCCGTAATGTTGCTGGAATATTGTTAAAAGCGGCGTAAAACCAAACTCAGTGAGTCAGTCTATTGCCTCAAATGTAAGTAGAAACGACTGGCGACTGTACATTGTCACATACAAATGTTACATCACAACAACTATATTAAGGGGATGACAGGTTGACATCAAATGTAAGTAGAAACGACTGGCGACTGTACATTGACATATACAAATGTTACATCACAACTACTATATTAAGGGGATGACAGGTTGACATCAAATGTAAGTAGAAACGACTGGCGACTGTACATTGACACATACATATGTTACATCACAACAACTATATTAAGGGGATGACAGGTTGACATCAAATGTAAGTAGAAACGACTGGCGACTGTACATTGACACATACATATGTTACATCACAACAACTATATTAAGGGGATGACAGCTTGACATCAAATGTAAGGAGAAACGACTGGCGACTGTACATTGACACATACATATGTTACATCACAACAACTATATTAAGGGGATGACAGGTTGACATCAAATGTAAGTAGAAACGACTGGCGACTGTACATTGACACATACATATGTTACATCACAACAACTATATTAAGGGGATGACAGGTTGACAACCAATGTAAGGAGAAACGACTGGCGACTGTACATTGACACATACACATGTTACATCACAACAACTATATTAAGGGGATGACAGGTTGACATCAAATGTAAGTAGAAACGACTGGCGACTGTACATTGTCACATACATATGTTACATCACAACAACTATATTAAGGGGATGACAGGTTGACAACCAATGTAAGGAGAAACGACTGGCGACTGTACATTGTCACATACATATGTTACATCACAACAACTATATTAAGGGGATGACAGGTTGACATCAAATGTAAGTAGAAACGACTGGCGACTGTACATTGACACATACATATGTTACATCACAACAACTATATTAAGGGGATGACAGGTTGACATCAAATGTAAGTAGAAACGACTGGCGACTGTACATTGACACATACATATGTTACATCACAACAACTATATTAAGGGGATGACAGGTTGACAGCAAATGTAAGTAGAAACGACTGGCGACTGTACATTGTCACATACATATGTTACATCACAACAACTATATTAAGGGGATGACAGGTTGACAACCAATGTAAGGAGAAACGACTGGCGACTGTACATTGACAAATAAATATGTTACATCACAACAACTATATTAAGGGGATGACAGGTTGACATCAAATGTAAGTAGAAACGACTGGCGACTGTACATTGACACATACATATGTTACATCACAACAACTATATTAAGGGGATGACAGGTTGACAGCAAATGTAAGTAGAAACGACTGGCGACTGTACATTGACACATACATATGTTACATCACAACAACTATATTAAGGGGATGACAGGTTGACAACAAATGTAAGTAGAAACGACTGGCGACTGTACATTGTCACATACATATGTTACATCACAACAACTATATTAAGGGGATGACAGGTTGACAACCAATGTAAGGAGAAACGACTGGCGACTGTACATTGACAAATAAATATGTTACATCACAACAACTATATTAAGGGGATGACAGGTTGACAACAAATGTAAGTAGAAACGACTGGCGACTGTACATTGTCACATACATATGTTACATCACAACAACTATCTAAAGGGGATGACAGGTTGACAACAAATGTACCTGAATGGCGTCTTTTTAATCTGTTTATCTTGAACGGCTTCATCGACACGGACATTTTGACAGGAAGCAGACCACGTAAAATGCGCCCAGAGTTATCGCCCTTGCATTACAATCAGACATTCTCGGATAAGTTCGCGAAAATGCATCTGACAGTTCAGTTCCGAGATGATACAGTCGCGTCTGTGTGTGTTTGCGTTCGATTTGAGCACCCTAAACGCCCCATTTGAAACCCGTTTTGACCAGCGTGTAATCCAAGATAACTGTGGTTGTCGAACGTCAGCTGACTCCAGTAAGCAGCCTCGAAGTGACGCCATTCTTAAACTGAATTAGCTTAATTTGTTGGCACTGTCTTGGAGTACTGCCGATGGTGTATATCACATGATACGTGATCCGACGTTAACCGGGAATCAGTCTGGTAGAGGACTAGGTGTGAAACCAATAAACGACAAAGAAATGTGCTATTATTAATAATTGTACTTTAAAATTGACTAAGTCCACAAATCTAACCAAATCAGTACAAAGGTATCGCTGTGGCAGTGAAACATGTTGTGGCAGTACAAATTCCAAGGAAATATCGTACAAGAGAAGTGATTTTAGCAATACCATAAGACAATGATAATGATATTCAAACCTCAGCAGCAGGGCTAGGCAGCACCTGGTTATCACGCACAATGATGTACAATTCTACTCTAAGGCAGATGTTACTGTAGTATTCTGGGTCGGAACATGGTGGAGTGAGTGAGTTTACTTTTACGCCGCACTCATAAATATCCCAGCTATATGGCGGCGGTCTGTAAATAATCGATTCTGGACCAGACAATCCAGTGATCAACAACATGAGCATTGATCTGCGCAATTAGAAAGCGATGACATGTGTGTCAACCAAGTCAGCGAGCCTGACCATCCGATCCCATTAGTCGCCTCTTACGACAAGCATGGATTACTGAAGATCAATTCTAACACGGATCTTCACGGGTCACATGGTGGAAGTCTCTAGAACTCAGGTATAAATATAACACAACATTGCCTTTACTTGAATCTGTAGGTGCAATATATAGCAGTTGACATACACCAGGGGGAAGTAAAACACTGCCTCATGCACACAGAGTGCAACTTTTGATGATTTTCATCCCTGATGTTCTACGCCATATTTAAAATTTTCTTGTTTTAAATGCACGATAACGATCCGCAATGGCCGCTCAGTAAACAATTAAATGGGTGTTCACTTCCCCTGTTGGGAGTTCTGACAATATGATGACACTTGTGTTTATGACTATTCAGGCAGCCATATTTAATTATATTTAAGTTGTGTGTTTTGTGTATATGTTGTCCTTGATTAAACCTAACTTCCATGAGCATGCCTCTGAAACGTTTTTACGATGTACTCCCTAACAAAATTGCTATAGATACACGCATCTGTCATAATTTTATTGCGGTAATTGTAAGTAGAAACGGCTGTCGAGGTGATTGGCGCCATATTTTAAACTTTCTTGTTTTAAAAGCACGAAAAAGAGAAAGCACAATGACTGTCCACTTCCCTTGGGAGTTCTGACAATATGCTTCTTCTGTTGCATGTTATGTGTTTAAGTTGACGAACTGAGTTACACATGGCAGTCGGAGCATTTCCAGGGTCATGGCTATCTTGAAGATATAGATAAGGATAAAACTACCTGATGGTCATTGCAATTCTGGACAGCTGCAGGAAATGTAAACCAAAACATAACACATGTTACATTTTACAACTTTCTAAAAGGCATTATGTATTTATAGCTTTCGGTCGTAGGGGTTGTGACTAATTCCATTTATTAAATTGGTACACAGAGTCCCTGATCTAGGCGACCAGTTTTCGGACTTCTGTTTTTGGGGAAACTTCGGTGGCTGATCATGAGTGGGTCGGATCGTTTCGTTTTTCAAATTTACTTTTGGTTTAAGTATTTAAAGTACTTTAATCCGCAAAGTGTTGATTTGATTGGATTCTCTTTTTTGTCAAATTGTTCCTCTGTAGCGAAATGACTCATGCACCAAAAGAAGTGGCGAGTACATGACTGAGTGAATAGAGCTTCTTTGGTCCTAATCCGATGGAGTGAGGTATTATGTGGATCACAAACCTTCAGGTCGAGGCCTCACGATGAAAGCGTTCCCGTGATGACGAGAAGATTGTATCGTGTAGGAGCGTTCATTTATTAAAGATTGAGTAACTGTAGAAGTTACATCTCTTTTGTCAATAGATCAAAGATGGATTAACCAGTGTAAATCCAACCAAGATCCGGGTTACAATTGGTCTTCAGCAACCAATGTTTGTCGTGAGAGCCAAGTAACGGGATCAGGTGGTCAGGCTCGCCATCTTGGTTGGTGAACGTCATCGTGTCCAAATTGCGTAGATCAATGTTTATGTTGTCAGTCACTGAATTGTCTGGCTCAGTCTCGAATATTTACAAACATCCGTTATAGAGCTCGAAAATGTGCTGAGTGCGGCGTTTAACAGATAAAGAAACTGACAACAAACAAGCAGTGTTAACCCCCGCATTCTCAGATAAAATACAAAATGGCTGCCAGATGGAGAACGAAAACAGCCATGTTATAACAGACTACAGCAGTTGGTTAACATTTGTTTCATGCTTGACAGAGACTTCATCGTATATTTTCTATTTAATCAAGGTAAAACGAGACGAGGTTAAAAATAACACGCTGTACATGACAGAGACCTCGTCAAAGTTGAGTTATTGATTCTGAAGTGTTCCTGTTGAATGTCTGTAATGCATCTTAGAAATAGATATACTTCGGTACCTAGGTACTGACATGCTATCACGTGCAGTCGTTGGTTTAGATGGAGTGTATGTCTTTCGGAGTTCCTCCCACATGCTGCCACATGCCATTGATACTGTTGAGCACTGAGACTGAACTAAAATCTTTGACGTGTACACATATAGAGATGACGTGTACACAAAGAGAGATAACGTGTACACGTATAGCGATGACGTGTACACATATAGATATGACGTGTATCCCTACATAGATGACGTGTATGTATTTCGATGTTCATGAATGAGATAGTAATATTTTATTTCCTTTTTATTCATTCAAACTACTCTTAAATAGATGAGTCAAGCTGAAGACCCGGTTCGAATCCCCACATGGGTACAATGTGTGAAGCCCATTTCTGGTGTCCCCCGTCATGATATTGCTGGGATATTGTTAAAAACAACTTAAAACTATGATCACTCACTCAGGCTAAATAATAGATGATCTTACAGTATGATGCTGATACGAGATATGGCTCTTTATATCAATCACTAGTTTATGTGGTCTTAACTTCTTTATTACACTTCGTGTAATACACTTATTACACTTCGTGGGAGGTCATTATAATGTTTGCAGCTTAATATCTCACGTGGGTACATTGTAAACGCTGGTTACCGGTGTCCCCCGGCCGTGACGTTGCTGGAATTGTGTGTTGCCAAACGCCATTACTCACTCACTCACTCACTCACTCACTCTGTTCCCTTTGTTTTGTTGTGCAGTATACATCAACTCGAGCAGCTGTATGATGAAACAAGACAGTAGAATCACGCCATGCTACAAGCAGATCGAGGAGACCTTCAACGTCAGCATCTATCTGTCCAAAACAGTCAACGAAGAAATAAACAGCTTCTGTGGGTCTGTACAAGAACAACCGGTGAAGTTGGAACCGGTCAGAATTGGTCTTTAGAAACCCAATGCTTGTCGTAAGAGGCGACTATAACGAGAGATCAGGCTCGCTGACTTTGGTGATGCATGGTATTGTATCTAGATTGCGTCGATCGATACTCGTGATGTCAATCACTTGATTGTCTGACCCAGACACGGTTTTGACAGACTGTCGTTATGTAGCTGGAATATTGCTTAATGTGGCGTTAAACAACAAACAAACTCTACAACTATTGTCTCATGTCAAACACTATTTTACAAATAAACCTCACTGTTTTATGTAACTGACTATAAATTGAAACAGTCGATTTCCATGAGTGAATTGGCTCATCTGTGATATATGCATACCGGTATAAGGAACCTCAGTCGGAAGTAAAACCTTGTCTGGACTAGATTTCGTTCCAACTGAATGTAAGTCTGTACTGTCCTACGTCACTCCTGCTTGGGAACGTTCAAGGGTCTATAACGAAACGTCGCACCGTAATAGAATGAAGAAGCTGTCACCCTTTAAATATTGCTGAAACCAACCAACTTCCAAAAAGGCCAGTCAAGCCAGTCCATCTGTTATAGGCGTTAGTTGTACTTGGGCTAGCCTGTGTCTTATTTCTCAGTATTGATTCCACTATGCCCAAACCTCTGCCTCCACTTCACTCAGCGGTCGTCCATTTGTTCACGTTCTGGATTTGAGTTTGTTTTCACAAACGTTCTGTGGATAACCAGAAACTTAGAGGTTTATCTTAAAGGAAAAATAATTGTTCGTTTCTCTTGCCAGATGAAAATGTATGTCATGCAGAGGTGAAAAATAAATCTCTCTCTCACACACAAACACATACAGACACAGTCACACAAACAGAGAAACACACACAAAGACAAACACACACTCACGCACGCACTCTCACACTTGCAGACACACATCACAAAGAGACACACACACTTACACACGAAAAAACACGCGCAGACCCACATGGAGACATACAGACATAATTATACAAACAGTCGCACGAAAAGACACGCACACACGCAGACACACACAGGCACATACAGACATAATCTCTCACTCTCTCTCTCTCTCACACACACACACAGAGGCACATAGACATAATCTCCCCCCCCCCCCCCCACCCCCCCACACACACATCCCTGCACTAACAAACTACTAACTGACTACAGCTGAACATCTTTTTTTTCTATTCCAGCTTCCAGAATGGGATACGGGGATGTATCATAGAACCGGTACATGTGTACTGCGGACAGGCCATAGTGGACCTCCTGAACACTTTTATGAAAGGAGTTACCTCCCCTGTTTGCAACGAACGTGCCAGCGAAGGTTTCCGCCTCAAGCCTTTAGCCTCTCTCATTCTCCTGTCAAGTTATATATTAATTTTGTTCCAGGCGTAGCGTTTCTTTCAGATGCTTCAGTGCCTTATTATTTAGCTTGGTGTAGTTCGAAAGGTGTCAAACCATTTTCAAGTCACCTGGAGTGACAGCGGAAGAAATATACCACTTTTCCATTTCTTTCGAAAGGACGTTAGCCACGAGTCATGTTGGAGAGGTCGTTAAGTACAGGTTGAAGGTCACACTGACTTTTTCTTCGCAGAGAGAGAGAGAGACAGAGAGAGAGAGAGATAGAGAGAGAGACAGAGAGAGAAAGACAGAGAAAGAGAGAGAGAGAGAGAGTGATAGATAGAGAGAGAGATATTGGGAATATGTTCTTACCCGTGTTTACTTAAGTCACAAAACTCAACAGCTATTAGCGTCCCTCAGCACCAGCCGTTTTGATCTGTCCTTGACTAGTTGAAGGATGGAGTGTGTGATGGTGACGTGGGTATTGATTTGTCCTTGACTAATTGAAGGATGGAGTGTGTGATGGTGACGTGGGTATTGATTTGTCCTTGACTAATTGAAGGATGGAGTGTGTGATGGTGATGTGGGTATTGATTTGTCCTTGACTAATTGAAGGATGGAGTGTGTGATGGTGACGTGGGTATTGATTTGTCCTTGACTAATTGAAGGATGGAGTGTGTGATGGTGACGTGGGTATTGATTTGTCCTTGACTAGTTGAAGATGGAGTGTGATGGTGACGTGGGTATTGATTTGTCCTTGACTAATTGAAGGATGGAGTGTGTGATGGTGACGTGGGTATTGATCTGTCCTTGACTAGTTGGAGGATGGAGTGTGTGATGGTGACGTGGGTATTGATTTGTTGGAGGGTGAATTGATTGGTGTCAACGAATTTATTGTATTGTTAAAAGATGAACTGAATGACGTGAATGTGGGCATTGTTTTGCATGACGGAGTGTGTGATATGAATATATGTGTTGTATTTGTTAAAGGATGCATTCAGTGCTGTGAATGGGGTATGTGTTGTTGAAGTATGCATCAAATGATTTGATTGTAAATAACGTTAATTTAAGTGTTGTATTGTATATATTCAATGATGTTTAACAAAGCCTTGAGCTGGGTGTTAAATGATGAATTGATGACTTTGATGTAGATGCTAAAGTATGATGTGAATGTATATTTTGTATTGGCAAAGGTACAATGTAGGCCTTTACTATAGATGTCAACTCTATGAAGGATGCAGTATATGATAGCATGGATATGTTGTGTGTATCTAAACCTTTGTGTAGGCCTTGTGCTGTAGGTGACTATAGAAGATGCAGTATATGATAGCATGAAAGTGTTGTGTGTATCTAAACCTTTGTGTAGGCCTTGTGCTGTAGGTAACTATAAAAGATGCAGTATATGATAGCATGGATATGTTGTGTGTATCTAAACCTTTGTGTAGGCCTTGTGCTGTAGGTAACTATAAAAGATGCAGTATATGATAGCATGAAAATGTTGTGTGTATCTAAACCTTTGTGTAGGCCTTGTGCTGTAGGTGACTATAGAGGATGCAGTGTATATGTGTGAGTGAATATCGGTCAGTTGTGCAGTATATGATCTTTATTTGTATTTCCCACCGATCGCAAACATTTCCGTGTCGATGTAAAGCCGTTTGCTCTTCTTGTAATGAGCTCATTTTGTAATTAGGGACTTCACTTTGCGGCATCAGAATGTTCTATCGACAACATTTTTTCTCAGTTGCTTAATAGAAAAGGCACAATTTATACACTTATTATTGTTATCATTAAATTGAGATTTAGTCTTAAACTGTTCTTTTCCCAACCAATCATATATCTTATCTTATACCACGTGATCCGTTTTTCCTTTGATGAGCATTTAACGATTTTCAAGAGCATTTCGGTTCATATTTTTTAACTTTAATCAAGTATGTTTCAAGTTCAAAGTATAACAGATATAATTTTTAAAGAAATTGTATATCGAGATGAAGCGGGGTGACTTATTCTGTAACAACTGAACGCATATGGGTTGAGCTCATGTGTTTCTGAGCCGTGAAGGTTCGGGTTAGAATGAACCTTCAGTAACACATGCTTGTCGTAAGAGGCGACTAACGGGATCGGGTGGTCAGGCTCACTGGCTTGGTTGACACATGTCATCGGGTCCCAATTGCACAGATCGATGCTCATGCTGTTGATCACTGGATTATCTGGTCCAGACTCGATTATTTACAGACCGCCGCCATATAGCTGGAATATTGCTGAGTGCGGCGTAAAACTAAACTCACTCACTCTCATATGTTTCTATTTCTGACACAGTATCTTGCGTTAGTGACAATGAAAGTTTGTGTTGCTATGCGTTTGCAGTGTTTGATATTCACATGAAACTAGTTTCGTAATTTACAAATGAGTCCTTAATGGAGGTATGTTCCAACAACGTTTTGTTTGCATCACAATGTACTTTAAGATGTAAATAACCTGAGTTCACGAAAGGTTACGTTGTGCCAGATCTACATGAGAAGTCAAAAGGCTAAAACTAGTATTTCACACATATGTAAGAAGATGAAGAAAATACAATAGTTTAGTTACAGTCCTAGGGCACAGGTACATGATCTTCGTTTGCTACATACACACATAGCACTTTCATTATTGTTACAAACAACATTGTTACAGAATTGTTACAAACATTAGTATTTGGTATTCTTCAGTAGTTCCGGAGTATGGTGTCGACAAGGGCGATCTCTTGTCAAGTCAAGCTTCAGATTCGGTTAGTTTGTTTTTGTTTACATTTATACTTAGGAAAATAACACAAAGTCTTGTAAATTTTATAGCGCTTTTATAATAAACAGGCCCAAACTACTAGGGTAACACAGCAACAACTCTCAGTGCTGCTTCTGTGATGTGTAAAATAATGCCATATTTACATGATGGCGTGGCTTTCGGACTAGGTAATGGTGATTTCAATACATACTGAGATAGAACACTTGAAGAATCAGAAAAATCAAAATCATTGTTGTACTTTATTCTTATGAAATAACTCTGAACGACCTATGAACCTTTTGGGCTATATTCTGCAATTTTTTTTTTTTCTGACAAATAATTACATGTTGCCCTATGTGACATGACGCACACCATGAGGTGTATTGATATGTACACACATAACTGCCTGACTCAATTTCCACAAAGTAGTGTTATATATAACAGCAGTGAAAGCTGAGTTGGACAAACTAGTTCTGAGGCAGAGATTTATTGAATCATAGGGTCAGCAACTTCAGGAAAAGAAGGGCACTTCACCTGCAGCAACTGACTAGCTCCTGCTGTCCGAATGAAGTAGGGTCTTGATTACAGGATTGTAGATGATGTTAATGTATGGCTAGTTGACATATTAATGAAGATTATTTGACCATTGCGAGGGATATTGATGACTTTGTTTTCTTGTTTGCATCTAAGTGTCATGTGATGTTCAATGTTGAATCACATAACGAGCGGTTTGTAAAATGAGTGCAAGCAGAAATTAGTTGTTGAAAACGCCTCAGAATTCCGACAGACTGACATTGTTGACAATCCATGTCGTATCAGCCACGGTAAGACAATCTCTAGTTATGTGCATGTTCCGTTGATCAGTAATTATTTCAGTGTCAGTCTGACAAAAAACCATCTGTGGGCGAACTCGGGAAATCTTCAACAACACCGTAGAAGCACACGATCTCGTGATAACGCTAAAATATTACATACGCGATCTCATGAATTAGCTGATATAATTGTGACTGCAAGATCTTGTGGTGTAGCTTATATATTGCTGTGACAATATGGTGTCAAGATGTAGCTAAATATTCCTGACTCATGATGTATAGCGTGTATACTAATGACTACATGAACATATGTGTAGCTTATGTATTACTGACCGTATGATCTTATTATTTTTTTTTTTAATTTCCATTTTTTATTCCCACCCTACAACACATATAATACAGTAATATGCATATACTCTCATATACACACATATACATATACATACATACATATGCACATACATATATAGATCGATAGATGTACAAGTTTTTCCCCTCAACTGAAAAATATGGGTGGATTTACAGATAGGCATTCTTAGTTCCGGCCATCGTGCACATAGCTACCACAGTTGTATGTATGAGAGTGTACATAATTTTAGTCTCAATTGGAAAGTATAGTTTACAGATAGGTATTCTAAGTTTGTTTAAACGTGCACATAAATACGCATTCATATATAAAGATGTACATGTGTTTCCTTTCACTTGGAAGGTATGTTTACAGGAGGACAATAAGTTCTGTCAGTCTTACTTAAGTAATAATTTCTCTTTGGGCATGCTTAAAGTGAATGCTTTTATTTTTCATACGTTGGTTTACAATCACTTGTTTACTACCAGACACACAGCATTTAGTGGGTCATTATGTTTTCCTTGAAATCCTAATAGTATATTTTCTGCGTTTAATGTAATTTTCTACCAGCTAGTCAGACGTCTCCAAAGCTCTTTTACATGGCTACATTCGTAAAACAAATGCATGACAGTTTCAGGTTCTCTTCCCCAAAAAGTACATAGAGGGGAATCCTTACGCCAAATCTTGTATAAGAATACGCTTGTTGGTATTATTCCATAAATTATTTTGTAATGCAACCATATTAGATCGCTACTGTTGGTACATCTGTGTGCCATTAGATAAATATGTTCCAACATTTTGGAATTATATTGTTTCTGAAATATTCTTTCCCACCTTTTATGTGCATATGATTTGTTGTAACCTGCATCAAGCAGTGAGGCGTAAAATACTTTGGTTCCTTGCACTGTACTTGTAGTTGAGACACATTAAAGGGGATCATATTAAAATGCCTAGACCTTATGAAGGAGAAATTGTTCCTTTTAAGAAACTTCCTCACAGAGGATATTATACTCTGGTATCTTAAAAAGTTCATTTTAATATCAAATATCCTTTGTAATTCTTCATGTGAATAAAAGCCCAGACTCGCAGGATCAAGCAAATCGTATACATAGTGTATTCCTCAATCGTACCAATTTGAATAAAAAACTCTGGTCTCCAATTTTGTAAAGGTTGTTGAAGCATAACGATTGATTCAGTAAATCCTTATTTTCCAGCTGTATATATTTTTAAACTAAATATTTTCCCTCTGTTTCTACGACATCTTTCCAAAAAGTGTTTCTAATTGTAGGGACGATTTTTTGTGTGGTATATTGAGAATGGGCTAGCCATATTCTATAGTTTTCTGGTATACAATTATCAACCAATATTTTCCATTTAGCATTTCCTTCTCGTAGTCGTTTTATCGAAGATATTTTTTAGCACAAATTATTTCCTTTATAATAGGTACAGTTAGTCCTCCATACTTTGGTGGCATGCTTAGAGCATCTCTTTTGATTCTATCCGGTTTATCTCTCCATATAAATTTAAAACATTTTGCCTGGAAAGATTTGAGTATCGTATCAGGTGATGGTATGGATGAAAAAAGATGGTTAAGTTTAGAAAGTAACAGTGATTTCAAGATTGTATTTCTTCCAATTGGAGTTAGAGTACGAATTGACCATAGATTCATTTCGCATTCTACCATTTTCAATTTTTCATAGTAATTCAGATCAATCATGTTTTCCATATCCACATCAAATTGTATTCCTAGCAGTCTGAAATTGTTTTGAGACCAATTCAAATTCCAATCTGTACATAGCTTGTATCGATTCCTTTTCTTTAAGCCTATCCATAACAACCTTGTTTTGTCTGTATTAACTTTTAGTCCGGAAAATCTTGCAAAAATGGAAAGAGTATTTTAGTAGTGCGTATAAGCTGCTCTCAGTACCGTCTAAAGACAGAGTAGTGTCATCTGCAAACTGTGCTAGAACAAATTCTACATTTCGGGTCTTTATGCCTTAAATAATTTTAATATTTCTAATAAGTATTGCCGAAATTTCAGCGCAAAAAATAAAATGTATGGGGATACTGGATCTCCTTGACGACAGCCTCTGCATACGGGGAAGCAAAACCATTAAAGACTACGTTTGACTGCATGTCGTTGAAAAAGGTATTAATCCATCTCAGTATACTTGGACCAAAATTAAAAAGATCCAGTACATTTAGTATGAAATTTCTATCTATAGAGTCAAAGGCTTTTTCAAAATCAATAAGAACCAAAAAGCCGGGTATTTGATACGACCGTATGATCTTATGGTGTAGGTTATCGTCATTATTATATTAATGACTAAATGACCATATGATATAACTTGTATTCAACTGACTAAATGATCATATGATATAGCTTATATATTACTGACTTAATAACCATATAGTGTAGCTCATTTAGTACTTACTACCTGATCTTATAGTGTAGCTCATTTAGTACTTACTACCTGATCTTATAGTGTAGCTCATTTAGTACTTACTACCTGATCTTATAGTGTAGCTTGTATATTGCTCACAGAGTAATCTAGTAGTCCAGTTTTAATATTATTATGTTGACTACATAATGAAGTTGTGTACATGATATATCGTTGACTATATCTTCCCCACATGATGGCATGGTGAAGCCGGGGCATTGTTATACCGACAACGACGAGTTCACTGTCGTGATATCCATGCTTGAACGATGACATGAACATAACTTTGGTCATTTTGGGGAATCTAGTACTTTTGGGGTTGGGTCCCATGATCATCTTACTATATGAAATAAATGAAAGGATACACACATACCCACACATTTCCCACCACTTACGAACTTTAATTTGATGTATTTCTGCTCTCCGTGAATATACTGATTCGCTGCATGTAGACATACCGTGGGGTTGTCCATGGCAAGAATTGCAAGAAGACCCAGAAATTACATTACTTTTACACTGGCTTTCGTTATGCTACATCATACCTGCTGCAGGCCACAAACGTCGCCTATGATTCCAGGAAGTATGCCGCCCATTATTTATTGATCATATGTTCGATATCAGCGTCCGTTGTTATTTTTCGCTGTGTGTTGCGAAAGTTTGGTTTTAGGTTTGTTTAAATTGCATTTGTGTGATATTTGGCGTGAAATAAGTTTCTGTTGGTGTTATTATTTGTAATTTAAGCGAATGTGAAACATATGTTTTGGATACTTTTAATAAATGTTATGTAAATACATACAATCGTTGTATTTGTATCTTATTCCTCCATACCAAGCGATCCTCGGATCGATATATATAGTACGTCTGTATATAAAGGACTATCAACAAAGTCTTATGAAACCGAAATCAGCCGTGGACAAAATATAAACGACTCCTTACATCCTAGATTCGTCAAGCCTCTGATCCTTGATCTGTCGTGCCACAGCCGTTATTGATGACGCTGTAAAGGTCTCTTAGCTCAATCACACACAGGTCGTTACATAAGTAGCAGTACCAGTGCCGTACAGAACGTATTGAAATGAAAAACACAATGGAACGAAACATTTTTGTATGAAGATATTTATTTACCGAATATCACAATGATGATGATATGTTGCGAAACATTTGATATAACAAAACAAGATTTAAACAAACAACAACAGTAGTAAATTCAGTTTGAAAATGATTCCTATGTGACTTAAACAGGCAATCATTGAATCTCTGAACTACAACATTATACACGTGAACGTTCAGGATATACTTGTCAGGGCGCCGATCCACAAATCGTTCGTAGCGTTACGAACAATCGTAAGCATATAGTTTATTATAGGATTACGAATGGCGTAGCGCTACGAAGAGCTGGATCGGATCCCCGGACTGTAACGTTATCTGACTAACTAGAAAACAAACACAAATATCACGCTGTCTCGCTACAATGCGATCAGACATACACATATTGCCGTTCAGCAAACAAATATTTAAACCTTTGCTTCCGGTAACATCGCATTAAAACTCATTTGCTGTCCTTGATCTGTCGCAAAACACACTTGTATTATAACTACAATGGTTTAACCTAAGCTGCAACTCATGACTGCTGGGGAAATGGTTTCATCACACTGGTGGAATCAAATCGACGTTAGACGGCCGTACTCTTCAAGTCACCCTATCCTACGACAATATGCTGTCCGCAGGCACAGATCCAAGTCCAAAGAACGATACCAAGTACACCATAGGCCTGTGTGTGGGAATCACTATCCAAGGTACCAGTACACCTTAGGCCTGTGTGTAGGAATCACTATCCAAGGTACCAGTACACCTTAGGCCTGTGTGTAGGAATCACTATCCAAGGTACCAGTACACCTTAGGCCTGTGTTTAGGAATCACTATCCAAGGTACCAGTGCACCTTAGGCCTGTGTGTAGGAATCACTATCCCAGGTACCAGTACACCTTAGGCCTGTGTGTAGGAATCACTATCCAAGGTACCAGTACACTTTAGGCCTGTGTGTAGGAATCACTATCCAAGGTACCAGTACACCATAGGCCTGTGTGTAGGAATCACTATCCAAGGTACAAGTACACTTTAGGCCTGTGTGTAGGAATCCGTATCCAAGGTACCAGTACACCTTAGGCCTATGTGTAGGAATCACTATCCAAGGTACCAGTACACTTTAGGCCTGTGTGTAGGAATCACTATCCAAGGTACCAGTACACCATAGGCCTGTGTGTAGGAATCACTATCCAAGGTACCAGTACACCATAGGCCTGTGTGTAGGAACCACTATCCAAGGTACCAACTACACCTAAGGCCTGTGTGTAGGAACCACTATTCAAAAGTGATGATACAAGGTGTTCATTGAAAGATGACGCATCCTGCCCTACTGGTGGCATTCGGGGCAAACACACGCAAAGGCAAATCAATCACCCGGAAATATGGTGGACGTGAAATAAGGAATTGTATAAGGCATCATTTTGATTATCAACGCGTTAAATTCTGAAATATTCCAAACCTTCGTGAAAGCTTTTCTAGGACCCTGATGTATAAGACGTTTTAACATTATTTGAGGAATATACCTAATTCAGCAGAGTTTGGGGTTCACTTACACATGCATATCATTCCTTGACAAATGTGACAATACACATGAACTACAAGCTCGCAGGTGCAACATAAGTTGTAGACAATGCCAGGTTGTGTAACAAACTGAATCATAGACGTGCGTCATAATTAACCAACAACTGTGGAAGTAACCTAATACCCTCTGTATAGGCTGTGAAATATAACAATACTCTCCAACTTAGTAAACCAACCCGGAGATGATTCTAGACTAAGGGTATTACACGAATGGTTAAAACTTTCTGTATGACTCCACACAGAAGCTTGTTGCTATTATACAATTAAAATGTCTTAAAATGGCAACGTGTTTTGTTTTTTGGTTTTTAAAACATATAAAAAATCCATTATTACATAATAAACGAGAAAGGTAGGGCAATTATTGCACTGTGAACTTCGATGTCAGAGTATTCACTTTCAAGAACCATCCAAACACACCAGATCAACACGTACATATCTGTGCATTGAAGATCTACTTACATTTGACACGAGCGTGTTGCTGTTGTAAGTAAATTGAACATAATGACGAAATACAATAATGAGAAATATATTATACCACATAGGTGTTTGATATGACATTCTGAGTATCTAACAGTCGCTTGGGAATAGTATAAATACGGTTGACACTGGCAACCGAAGAACTCATTTCAAGAATATCCAGTTGTATCCTGACGTTTGTAACTGTTTGTAATCGTCGCCAAACCCATAGTTTGTGTACATCCTGTCAACTGGATTAATAGTATTACCACTTAGTATGTTCACTATGTTGTACCAATCTTCACCATCTTGTCCTCAGCAATGTCTGTGGTGATCATGGATACTGCTGCTGTAGTCGAGTAAAGTATGGAATCTGGAACTGACTAACAGTGTAATTCTCAATATATATCGGACCCACCAAAACCTTTCCACCATTATTGTGATCAGACCATATCCCTTTGGGGAAGAAGATTCCTCTCGTGGTGGCGCCCTCGCATACGACTGGAGCTACAAGAAGCCGGTTGCCCACCAGGAACTCATCCTGAACCTTATGGGCAGTTGCGTTCTTGGGATCCATCCACCAGACAGGTCTCATGATAGGCAAGCCTTTCTTGATGTCATCGCCTAGACTGGTTATGATAGGCACCACGTGAGTCTGATGGATATGACTCATATCCTTGGCCACCTGGACACACACACTACCGTACGACCAGGGCGGGATGGAATACTTCATAGCTGGGAAGAAGGCCGACAGCTGCATCCATCTGATGTACAGGTCCATGCTTGGCATTCCCCCTGTGGTATGCTTACTCGCATCGTACAGGTCGAAGCCATCTGAAAGAACATATGGGTATCCCAAGAGTCCAAGTGTTAGTGCTCTGGCCAGAGTGTTGGTGAGACAGGTTTTGTCGCCAGAGGTCTTGATGGAGGTCCTCACACTGATCAGTTCTCCGACATGTTGTGATTGTGACGTCTGTTCCAAGACGACGTTCTGACTAATGGAGGTAACCATCTCTGTGTACAGCCTCCGGATTTTATTTGGTGTCAAATCGTTGGTTTCGAAGTGTGGTTTGTACGGCATCCACGCTTTGGTGCCATAGCTGAATCGGAAGGCACTGGTTTGGTAATTTGAGACCAGATTATTGACTTTTCCAGTAAACCAGGCCTTGGCTGCAGGGTTAGAAACATCCAAGACTCCAGCAAAGTCTTCTCCGAGGGTCGTGAGACCGGGAACTACACCTCCGGCATCCATTACGAATAACTCCTTTTCTACACCCTCTTTAAAATTAACAGAACTGAAGTGAAAGAACGGCGTAATTTCAAGTGACATTCGGCACTTTGAGGCAGAAATAGAATCCAACATGGCTGTGATATTGGCGAATTTTCCTTTATCTAAATCCAGATCCCCAAGTGTCTTTTGCCAGTTGCCATCAATTTCCAGCGTGCTGCAATTCAAATCTTTCTCCGCTATTGCTGACGTCATCGCCATGACTTCAGTTTCAGAGACGTCGCGATCATAGTCACGTGCTTTGACAGAGTAGTGAGGGTACGTAAGGACGTTGCCACTAGGCAGAGGAGGCCCTGTAGGGGAGAGAAAATATTTCCTCATGAAGGCGTGGGTTTCCACCATGTTGACGCCATTACAGACGGTGTAGTTGAGATGTGGAAGCAATGACTGGGTGTAGCTGTAAAACGGTTCTGTGTAGTTGGATATAAGACACACTTTCCCTGGAACCGTATCGTTCCACGATATATGAAGTGGGTCATTGGAGTCGACAACGATGGCTTCAGCTTGAGACGATAGCCAATAATATTCCAAAACACTGCTCAGTACACCATTTCCTTTCAAGCGGTACACGTTCGGGTCAAATGAAAACTTGCCTGTTATTGGTAACATATCATTCGTCATGTTCGACGATCCATACCAAAATGCACTTCCCAGGTCAAAACAATCAAACGGAACGTGATTCTTAGTTCTGTACTCCCAGGAAATATTATAACATTGAATCAATCCTTCTTTGAAGTAGCCAATCCTTAAGATGGCGTTGTTCTTCCACTTGCATTCCTTTGCATTTGGGTCGCCCTTCTCTGAGATGGGGCAGTGGAGGGGAAGCTGCCATTTTGGTAGGTCTTTAGCCAGATGACCCGTAAGGTCGTCACCGGTCACTTGGTCTCTCAAGGTCAGAACACGACTCCGTGGATCAAAGAAGATCTTCTGGGTTGTTGCTAGTTCTTCCACTTGCTTGTCGTGGAAATACCACGCTGCACTAACGAACGACACTGTGATGACGAAGATGACAGCCACGAAGATGTGAACCCGGTAGTGCATGAGCAGCTCCTTCTTGGTCTGGTGCTCCTGTAACAAATGAGCGTGTGTCAGATAACAGCGACAGGAACAATCCTAAAACATGAAACCTGTGACATCATATCAACAAATCCTCGAAAATTATATGGTAATGCGTTGTCTTGTATACGCCAGATAAAGCATTCGCAAAGCGCTAAATATTCCACAAAAATGGAAGTCTGACAAATGGTAAACTCTGAGAGTGTGGATTGGAATCCCGGACAGGAGTCATCCCCAAAGTTACTAGAATCTGTACTTTACTGAAAAAGTGTAATCCCAAATATAACATGTGTTACAACACGCTACATTCTAAACAGCATTGTGTATTCAAAGTCTCGGATTTCAAGCATTATCTGCCTCATCCCAAAACGTATTCAGGTTTTGACGTTCCACATCAGCCAATCGGGTTCTTATTAAATAAGATAACACATGTACTTTGAAGTAATAGTATAAAAGTAATAAAAGCCATCAACCTACATTCACTTCCCCCAACTCCCGCACCAAACCCCAACCACTATTCCCGTTTCAAGTCTTGATGATGGGTTTTGCATTCGATATATTTGATAGTACAAGATGCGAGTGTGAGGCTCTATGTGTGTGTGTGTGTGTGTGTGCGTGTGTGTGTGTGTGTGTGTGTGTTGTACCAGGAATGGGCCGTACACAGGGTACATAGTGATTCAGATTCCACATTGCGCACTATAGATAAGACTCAACTGACACACACACATCAAGTCTTCCTCATTCATAAACAATCAAAGGAAACTGCATTCACACGCTAATTATACCCGTATTTACCGACGCAGATGCGTACGGCAATATTGTATGAGATTCGTTGCGACATCGTCGTTATAATCACGTGTGCTAATGGTTGTAATGGCCACATAAGTATGGTGTTTATGTATTGTTGTAACAATAGAAAACGAATTCCCTTCGTTGGTATGCCTTCAGAACATGCTGTGAGGACAGGCAATCAGCCTTGAGTGATGTCTGCAGGCACTTTAACAAACAACATAAAGGCATTGGACATGTTCGACAAGATACGACCCTTGTCTTGTAAAGATGTTCAGTAGGGCCCCTGTCAAGTCTGCCAGGACGGGGATACTATTGAAGCAAAGCCTCTATGGTAAAACACGTATGTGATATTTGGACTATGTCTTTTGTGAGAAATGCAGGTGTCATCGATTGTTAAAGGTGAGGGCTGGTTTCAGATCAACAGGCAATCCCTCGAGGCGCATACATCTGTGTGCACCGATCTGTACGTCTCACCGTGGTTAGGACACAATAACCCGTGGTTGGCAACAATGCTTCATGCACATTTGATAAGGGTGGAAGTTATAATTTCACGTGATCAATGCTCTGTTCATCCTTCATCTTCGAGCATTTACAAAATACGATACTTCCCTTGTTTGATTACGATTAGATCTTTTGAGGTTTTATGGTATACATGGGCTGCCCACTGGACGCATGAGAGTACAAACAGCAATTCCCTGTTTTGACTTTCTGCACATTATTCCGTGACCTGGCATGTGTTTGTGATGGTGCCACCGGTGGGACAGGATACGTTCGCCTATTTGCTCAAGATATAGATGAAATCGCATTGTGAACTCTACATTGAGAGAACATTCAAATGATTATGAAGAACTAATGCTTTTGGCCACTGTTATCTATTTGAATACATCTCTACCCATCAAAGTACAAAGAAAATATCACCTAAAAATATAAAACTGCTAAATGGTTAGATATAAAAAATGAATAAAGGAAGAAAGTATAATATATGCAGATAACACCTGTGACCAGGTAATGCGAAATATGACACCCAATGAGTATGCCCGGGGGATGAGTGTGAGGGTGTGGAGTTGTGGGGGTGGGGCTGGGGTGTTGGGTGTGGGGTTGGGGTTGGGGCTGGGGTTGGGGGTGGGGCTGGGGTTGGGGTTGGGGCTGGGGTTGGGGGGGGTGGGGCTGAGGTTGGGGTGTGGGGCTGGGGTTGGGGGTGGGGCTGGGGTGTTGGGTGTGGGGTTGGGGTTGGGGTTGGGGCTGGGGTTGGGGGTGGGGCTGAGGTTGGGGTTGGGGCTGGGGTTGGGGGTGGGGAGACTTGTGTCAGCGTGAAGAGGTTTTCATGGATTCAAAAACACACAATGAATGAATACAAGGCGGGGCGAATAACTTACCCCGTCAGAAACCGTTGAGGCCATTGAGAAACAACAAACTGGTAATCAAACTCCAGTAACGCTCAGTGACATCTACACCAACACACCTACACCCACACATCTACACCAACCAGACTACAACGACACAACTGCAGAAGCTTTACAGCAGGTCGTGCGTCACCTTGTGCTCAAGAGGACATAACCAACACCTTGGGGCGGTGATCCGCATACTCCTTATCACGTGAACACAACGATCACTGAAGCCTCGGGCAGGGTTTCCTTCAAAGATATCACATCATAGAGTCCTGATGAGTGTGATAGATACAAAGATTCTGTTTTGGTGACATCGTAGCCATCGGCTAGGCAGATTCAGGACGTGTTTATCCACAGAAAGGTGATTGTTTTACATGTGATACTTTCAAGACGACTTAATGAGAGAGTTGGGTTTTACGACGCTCCAAGCAATATTGGAACAAACAATTCTATAAACAATAAAACAACTTTATGACACAAACATGTTCCAGAATTCAAGAGCTAAAATCCACTGTGCCACAGAGTCACACTATGAGCCGGGCATCGAACCAGTTCTATATAGCTGGTTTCCACCCACGATCCACGGTGCCACAAAGACACACTATGAACCGGGCATCGAACCAGTTCTCTATGGTTGGTTTCCACCCACGATCCACGGTGCCACAAAGACACACTATGAACCGGGCATCAAACCAGTCCTCTATAGTTGGTTTCCACCCACGATCCACGGTGCTACAAAGACACACTATGAACCGGGCATCAAACCAGTCCTCTATAGTTGGTTTCCACCCACGATCCACGGTGCCACAAAGACACACTATGAACCGGGCATCGAACCAGTTCTCTATAGTTGGTTTCCACCCACGATCCACGGTGCCACAAAGACACACTATGAACCGGGCATCGAACCAGTCCCCTATAGTTGGTTTCCACCCACGATCCACGGTGACCACAAAGACACACTATGAACCGGGCATCGAACCAGTTCTCTATAGTTGGTTTCCACCAACGATCCACGGTGCCACAAAGACACACTATGAACCGGGCATCAAACCAGTCCCCTATAGTTGGTTTCCACCCACGATCCACGGTGACCACAAAGACACACTATGAACCGGGCATCGAACCAGTCCTCTATAGCTGGTTTCCACCCACGATCCACGGTGCCACAAAGACACACTATGAACCGGGCATCAAACCAGTCCTCTATAGTTGGTTTCTACCCACGATCCACGGTGCCACAAAGACACACTATGAACCGGGCATCAAACCAGTCCCCTATAGTTGGTTTCCACCCACGATCCACGGTGACCACAAAGACACACTATGAACCGGGCATCAAACCAGTTCTCTATAGCTGGTTTCTACCCACGATCCACGGTGACCACAAAGACACGCTATGAACCGGGCATCGAACCAGTCCTCTATAGTTGGTTTCCACCCACTATCCATGGTGACCACAAAGACACACTATGAACCGGGCATCGAACCAGTCCTCTATTACTGGTTTCCACCAACGATCCACGGTGCCACAAAGACACACTATGAACCGGGCATCAAACCAGTTCTCTATAGTTGGTTTCTACCCACGATCCACGGTGACCACAAAGACACACTATGAACCGGGCATCAAACCAGTTCTCTATAGTTGGTTTCTACCCACGATCCACGGTGACCACAAAGACACACTATGAACCGGGCATCAAACCAGTCCTCTATAGTTGGTTTCCACCCACGATCCACGGTGACCACAAAGACACACTATGAACCGGGCATCAAACCAGTCCTCTATTACTGGTTTCCACCCACGATCCACGGTGCCACAAAGACACACTATGAACCGGGCATCAAACCAGTCCTCTATAGTTGGTTTCCACCCACGATCCACGGTGCCACAAAGACACACTATGAACCGGGCATCAAACCAGTCCTCTATAGTTGGTTTCCACCCACGATCCACGGTGCCACAAAGACACACTATGAACCGGGCATCAAACCAGTCCCCTATAGTTGGTTTCCACCAACGATCCACGGTGCCACAAAGACACACTATGAACCGGGCATCAAACCAGTCCCCTAGAGTTGGTTTCCACCCACGATCCACGGTGCCACAAAGACACACAAAGAGCCGGACAACGAACCAGTCCTCTGCAGCTGGTCTGGAGACCAAAGATATGAACTGGAGACCATCTGTCCCCGGAATACCTACAGGGGCGTTAATGATTTAAGACCAAATGCTATTTGACATTTATACGAGTCATCGTTAGAGACAAAATTAGAGACCCATCATTCACGACTCATTTCTGTTCGGATAAATAGTGAGACGACTCTTTATAATTGTGTAGTGATCTGTAGGTGGGGAAGCACGTATGTACATCGCTGACTTGTCTCAATATCAAATCTGTTCGACACTCTTTTGATACCAATCACTGATTGCGGAAGACATGGCAATACTCAGTTTTCGCAATTCATCGCCCTACTAACCTCTACAAATGCCACGAACGCTGAAGGTCTGGTAAAAGGTTTGGTGAGGTGAGGTGAGGTGAAATTGGGTTTAACGTCGTGCTTGAGAATATTTCGCTCATATGACGACGTGCATGCGTGTGTATGTGTATGTGCGGCTGCTTGTACTAGCCCAGACTGAAGCTGGTTTTATAGTGCTAGCCCACTGAGATACCATGCCGCAGTGAAGCATGAATACCCCACTCAGACATATTATACTGACTCCGAGCCGACCAGTCCTTGTTGTACCCATTAATGCCGAGCGCCAGGCAGGGACCAACAAGTACCATATTTTAACGTCTTTTAGTATGACGCGGTCGGGGATCGAAC